ACTCCTAAACAAAGTGGCCGATTTCAATGAAAGCTTACAGATATGAAATTACCCCCTCCCCTGATGCACGACATCTGGGTAGTATTTTTTTCATTTCGACCCTTTTTAAGGATTTACGGCCCTTTATTAAAAATAATTGTCTCTTCCTTCACTACTAGGACGATTTCAGCAAAACTGGTTCACTTTGGCTGACAAGATTTGGTATACAAGTATGCTTTGGCATGGGGAAGTATGTCAGTGACCAAAATACTTAAAATCATTACTGGTGGGAGACTATGGACTTTGCAATGCTTAGCCTTAGTTAGCCTTTAGCTTACAGTTCTGGTTTATATAGGAGCGGGGGTATTAGTAAGCTTTTGGCTTACAGTGCTAGTTATTATTTCATTTTGCCTATTTGCCTATCATTAAACAAAATACGAAGGAATATTATTTTATATCGTTAACTCTAAACAAATAAAGCAAGGAAAGATATACTTGTCTGACTCCCCATACAAAAAAAAACCATATTTCAGCACATTTGATTTGTGTGACCTTGAATGAAGGTCAAGGTCATCAACGTTTACAAAATTAAATCCATTTACATGAACAACCTACTTGCCAAATATCAAGACCAAAGGACCTTTGGTCATGAAGAAATGCAAGTTAACGGAAATGTGGAAAGAAAGCTACGTTTTTCTTTTTTTTAATCAAAAGTGTTATGTGACAAATTTACCGGTTGTTATTTTTTTTTAAATTCTTGATCTTGAAAGATATTATTAGTAGCCAACTTTTAAGCAAGTTTTAGAACTATGTAAATTAACGTGTAAAAAATGGAAATTTTCTCAATAGTAATACAATTTCTTATATTTTTCTGCTTAAATCTTCAATAAAAAGATGTTTTTCTTGAAATAGTGTAATATTCAGTTGGAATATGTTGCCAACGATGATGATATAATTTTAAAGTAACTGTGTCATTTAAATGCTCTAGAAGGAATTGTATTATCGCACCTTTAACACCCACACAGGTGTAAGTCAATGAGGTCCCATTTATCATAAAATGAATTCTGAAACTAACTGTTCCTGATTTAAACTACCTATACCCATATCTTTTTGCATTTATCTTGTTTTGAAATTCCAAGCGGGGGCCGACGCTTATGTTAAATCTCCATCGGCATTGACCCTACCTTTTTACATTAAATATATTAAACAATCCTTGCATTTTTATTAGACTTGGATAAGTAAAATAATATTTTGGTATATATTTCTCTCTTAGACATTAAACTGAATCACTTTCACATTTAAATAAGTAATGAAATTCATCTCCAATGTCGGAATTACATAATGTACAGGTTCTTTCTTGACGAGGAATACCTAACCATCTTCTTTTTTCTACGAGTAAATGCATATTGCAAGAACGAAATTTACACATAATTTTTTATCATTTGTATTAAGCTTAATTCAATATTTTTCTTGTTCAAACTTTGTCTTAAATATTGAATATGTTTGCCCTCTAGAGGAGTTAAGAATATCATCAAACCATTTCTGCATAAATAGACCCTTTAGTCTACTTTTCACCAGCCTTTTAATTTCGTCTTCTAAAAAAGAACATGTAGATTGATAGTACCACACATAGTTAGGCCAGTTTGGGATAAAATATCTTTAACATATGCGAGGCATTTAAATGACACAGCTCCATTTTCTTGTAATGTATACACTAGCTTATAAATAGTACTTGATAACTTACTAGAGGTAATCAACTTATGCCAGAATTCTATTATTCTACATTTAATTTCGATGTCTAGTGCGTATCTTCCAAGCTCACCATAAACAATGAAATTGGGTGTACTTTTTCTTACATTTAGTATATATTTACAAAATTGAAGATGGATTTTTCTATAATATTTGGGTTTTCAAAACCCCATATTTCTGATGAATAAGGAAGAACTGGCATGATAAATGAATCAAATATCTTCAATTGTAGATCAACTGGTAATGATATGTTTCTCAATTTCTTATAAACAGCAAACACTGATTTCTGTGCTTGAAGAAGCTACAATTAAAATTAAATAATAATCCTAGATAAGTTTACCCTTCCAGTATTTCTAATTCTACGTTACATAATGTAAAATGGGGAGTTCTTGCACATTTTCTTTTTGAAAAGATGACAACTTTTTTTTCTTGAATTAATAGTTAACTTCAAAGTATTACAGTATTGTTCAAATTCATTTAAAGCTAATTGTAAACCATCTGGTGTTTCTGAAAACAGGACAGTATCATCGTCATATAAGATAATGAACTGTTTGAGATACACCCCAATGTTGTCAATACACAGTGTGTCTTTTGTTTGAAGACAATTTACGTTTTTCAAAAAGATAAGTTTCTAATTCATAAATAAATTGCAAACAAAAATGGCGATAAATGTTCGCCCTGTTTTAAACCGATCTCACAATTGAACAAATCCGACTGTTCACATCCATTTTTAACACATGATTTGGTTTTATCATATAACGTAAAAATAATATTGATTTTATTTCCAGTAATGTTGCTTTTTTGGAGCTTTTTCCACAGACCAACTCTCTATACAGAATCGAAAGCTTTCTAAAACGTACAATAAAGTATTTTTTCTAATGAAAAAAATATTGAGATTAAGGAATACAATACAAACATGTTATCGGTTGTAGAATGACCCTTTCTAAACCCAGCTTGTGCCCCATGCTTATAAGGTCAAATTCGTCAGAAAATGTATTTAAACGATTATTAATAACCGAGGTGAACACTTTGCCGAGACAAGAGACCAAAGTGATCGCTCTACAACTATTCGGATCTTTGGGATTGCCTTTGTTTGTATATACTGGTTATATAATACCAATCTTCCACGCATCTGGTATAGACGCAGTATTCAAAATAAGGTTAAATATTTTATTGATAAATAGGGAAAACTACATCCATTGTACTTTTCGATATTCATTTAAGAATTGATCTATACCAGAGACTTTACTATTTTTTAAATTGATTAAAGAAAATTTAATTTCATCAGCGGTAATTTCACCATTCACATAATCATCAAATATACTATTATCAGGATTTTCCAGCTCAAAATCGTCATCATCATGAACAGACTTGTTCAGATCTTTAAAGTATTCATATAAATCAGTAATACATATATCAGCATTACCTTTCGTTACAGATCCGTCACATTTATTCAAAATATTCCAGAATAAGACGTCAAGAAACCCGTTATCGAATTCAAAATATCTGCTGACATGATATTCTCATCAAATGAATTAGATGGTTGTGCACGCTTGTCCGTTTCAAAAGACGTTTACGAATATTTTGTTCGAGATTCTGTAACCATGTGTGAAGATGTTGTCGTCCTATTCCTACTAATAACTTATTATGTTGAAACCATATATCGGCTTAAATGTCCAGAAAATGTTAAGCTATGTCATATCGGGCCCAGCAACAATAACAAATGACATTTACAAAATGCCAAACACTAATTACTATTGCATCGTACAACTGTTACGTCCTTCTAGGACACATTGGTGATACCAGGGCGAAAAAGTTTGCAACCCATTTAGGTCTAAACTACTATTGAAACAGAGGGGATATGCATACAAACCCTTAATTCATTAATTTCAAAATAAATAGAGTGGTACTGATTAATTTCATTTAAATTATAAAAGTGTGTATTTAATGAGCCATGCTACTACTCAAAAGAGATTACTCGGCCATCAAGGTAACTACAAACCTAGCAAAATATTAACCACCAGCAAACAGAAGGGAAAACCAAATCGGTATATGAAATCCATAGTTATGATTGTCTCTGTCAATAAAAGCGGAAATAGGTGAGTATCCCATCCTGGACGACGAACGCTGCGCCACAGCATTAGCTGACTTGGCCCTTTTTGCCAGGCGAGCTAAAAGTATCACGGATTACACTGGTCTTTTTTTCTCCTCACTTCCACATTGAACATGACGTTAGGAAGTGTAAGGGACATGTGCTTTGACGCCAGTTTGTGCAGTGGCTTCTTGTGAAAGACTGTCTACCGGTATGTTTCTGTCGTAAGATTTGAGAAAATAGTTGGTAGTGACGGTTGGGGTTCACGTAAATAGCTAGTACTTAGATATGGTTAAGGTCCCGCACAAGTCAGTAGGGCGGGCAAGAAACAAAGTACGTGTTTCTTCATGCATTTTAGAGTAGACCCCAGAATCCATCGTTATAGCAAACATGTATCCATCTGTCAATGCTTAGCAGTTGTATTCATGGTTAAAGGGTTGGTATTTCAATTGTTTCCACGTACCAAGGATTACTTTACTAGTGGCAAGGCCATATCAAGTAATTTATCAAGAGTGCATTCATTTGTCCATGCCTAGTTTTGGTTATGGTTGGGGCTTTTTAACAAATTCCATGTTACCACCCAGAGGTTGGGCCTTACCTTTGAGCCAAACCTAGAAGGCCGAGTGCCTTGTCTCCTCGTGCCTGAATTGTATGATATATTGTTATACGGGGTGGGGGATGGGGTAGGATGTTACAACTGTTTCCATGTAAGTACCAAGGTGTGAGGTTAGATCCAAGAGTGAATCCTAATGGCATGGCTTTAAGGTACCACTCGGCTAGAATAATAAGACCAGAGAAAAAAATCTTCCTTTCCAGCTTTCACGATGAGGTCGACCAGCAATATCATGTCTACTCTTAGTTCCTTTACGACATCAACATTGAACATGTTTCCTCGGTATCAACAAATAACAGGACAGCGATATGCTTTCCACGACGACCGCATTACTTAATTTTCGACTTTAGTGGACATGCTTCCGCGGTGAGATGTCTTTAAAATAACGCCAGAAATCATAATAATAAATGATATTGTTATGTTTTAAATATTATTTATGAGAGTAACAATACAATATTCCTGTAATGCAGTGGGAAGTCATAATGCTTAAGTAGTCACGATCAGTCATCAACCATGTCGTGTATTTTCCATATATACATGTAACATATAAGTTGTTTTTCCTTACAGGATTAAAGCTTCTTCTGAAGACTTGGATACTTTAAACCATTGGATACAATGGCAGGTGAGATAAAAAAAAAATAAGATTTTAGCAAAACAATTATACAATTAAATTGTGTGTCTTAAGGTCATATGAGTGTATTGATAAACGGAAATAGGAAGTATATCACTAGTTGAAAATCCAATGTAGGGAGACAGTATCACAATTTCCGCATATTCTAATGTTTAATATTAAACTGAAGAATAGTGTATGCTTGTTATTGACAGAACAGTGAGTTCTCTCAATATTAAAGTATTTCAAAGCAATCTAGCCATTAATTCAGTTATATTTTATCAATGAGTCACATGTGTACATTTTTTCTGTACTTCAGGAAACCGACTACCTATTTCACTACTGTAAAGTTTTTCAAGAACGATAACTCTTACATGCAATAACTATGTGTATATGGTTTCATTTTTTTCCAAATTCACTCCTTTTTACATAAGTTTCCATTTAAAATCCTTAAAATTCGGACAACCTATATTTTTTGTTGTTGCAGAAAATGTTCTTTACTTCAAAGCAATATAACTACGAAATTTGAAAAAAATCTACTGAGAAATAGTGACACAAAACAAAAAGGCTTAGTTTAATATCGAGCAGACATTAACTTACAAAATAAGAGTAAACTCAATAAAGGTACGTGCATGAGTAATAACAAATTTTTTCCCCCATTACAGGATGGTTATGGAATGCAAGGTTGTGGAACGAGGAAACAACTTATGATGTAAATGAACGGATGTCTGTTACTTTGAAATGTAAATGTAATTCTATCACTGGAACTGTTAAATGGATTCATGGCAACCAGACATATTCCCAATGCAACAATGATTCCAACTACGAAGTTAAATGGATCAACAATGAACTTTCACTCAAAATAAAGTGTGTTGCCGAATCCGACGGAGGAGAGTATTTCTGTGAAGTACGTCCTAACGGACAATTCTTGAAGAGTCAAGCAATAACAGTCAGTAAGTTTTCAATTATTTCCATTAGTGATATGATATAAAATCAAAGTCCTAAAGAACCGAGAGACTACATGTACACTTGCATGCAATTAAATATCAGGTAACAATCAAATAATACCTAGTAGTAAAATCTGCTAGGCATGCTTTTCACAGTATTATGTAATGAATAAATCACACCAATTGGTATTTGATAAGCCAGTGAGGGGGCTTCTGTTGAGAGCCAAGCCAGAGTGCATATATTGGCTTATCCAACATTAAACGAGTGATAATACTCTTACATATATATATATATAGCCTTATACCATAGGTTGGTTATAAAGTGAAATAGAACAAGATCAACTCGTAAAATACATGCACTTGTCATAGTCTAATGATCACCCATGTCTTTGTATATCATTATTAGTATCAGAAGTTTAGAAAATAAATGCTTTTGTACGGTTATTGGGAGGGGATCTCAACTTTTATGCCCAGCATTTGTATTTGTAGTTTTGGGGTGGGGATCATAACCATTATGATCCAGGGGTTAAGTCTCCAAGGGTGGGTCAGACCCCAAAGCAATCATCGAAGGGTATGTGCATTCATTTCTTTATATTCAGCAATTGTATATATGGTTATGGGGTGGGGCTCTCAACTGTTTCAAAGATATAACCCAGAAACTAAGTCCCTATGGATGAGGAAAGACCCCAGGGTCTATTTTTATATCATGCTTGTGTTTATCTCTTGATGCCCAATAAAGCTTTATATAGTTATCCGGTGGGGATCTTAACTCTTGCAAAGATATAAACCAGAAACAAAGTCCCTAGGGGTGGAGAAAGACCCCATGGCCTATTTTTTACATCATGATTGGGTTTATCTCTTGATGCCCAGTGATGCTATATATGGTTAAGGGGGCGGGTTCTCAACTGTTTCAAAGATATATACCAGAAACTAAGTCCCTATAGATGGGGAAAGACCCCAGGGCCTATTTTTACATCATGCTTGTGTTTATCTCTTGATGACCAGCAATGCTATATATAGTTATCGGGTGGGGATCTCAACAGTTGCAAAGATATAAACCAGACACTAAGTCCCTAGGGTGGAGAAAGACCCCATGGCCTATTTTTACATCATGGTTGGGTTTAATTCTCTTGATGCCCAGTAATGCTATATATGGTTATAGGGTGGGTATCTCAACTGTTTCAAAGATACAACGATCCATAATATAAAATATTGACCACACCATACCACCCTGACCCCAGGGACATACATTTTATAAATTCAAAAGATTACTCTATACTACTTGTAGGAGTAGAGAAGAAGTTTTTTAAAGATGACTCCATTTTTTACCTATTTAGCCTCGCCCCTCAGGCCCCTGTGGGCGCAGCCCCATAAATTTCATAAATTGAGATTCCTATGTCTTAGTGATATTCCATGTCAAGTTTGGTCAAACTTGGCCCAGTAGTTTTGAAGAAGAAGATTAAAATGTAAAAGTTGACGGACGACAGACGACGGACGACGGACGCTGCGGTATGCCATAAGCTCACTTGGCCCTTCGGCCCAGGTGAGCTAAAAATGGGGCCCTTTTCTGAGTGTCTATTGCCACTCAGGCAATAAGCAGAAACAGGTAGGCCGGTGGCGGATTCCAGAAAGTTTTCATGTGGCGATAGTAATTGTGCGTAGACGGTTGTGCATATCCGAATAGGACTAAGAAAGATAAGTGTTAGCTATGGTCAACTACTAAACTAAATGAATGGATTATTGACTTAATCTAACAATGTGTATCAGTATATACACTAAAGAAAACGTGTTTAGTTACTTATTATTACAAATTATAATTCGTAATTGCTAGGTGTTCCATATGGCTGAGTAAGAGGATGCATGGTTGTTAGGATACCAGAATGTTTGAAAACGGCATTTCTATTGTATTGTCGGGTTGTCATTGTATCATTTAAATCTAAGTTGAAAAATCATTTGTAAAAGTGATATAGTTCAGTATTTGTTTTGAAATTTGCAGTATCGTAAAGTAAACATCACATGGAAAACTACGTTGACGTAACTTAATGTTGTTGTCATGTTCGAGTTTTCCCGAGATATCGTTGTGCATTTGTTTGCTTTTATAAGAAGCAATGTTACAGAAAAATATTGAAAGTTACAGCTTCATGCAGGTAAACGATGAGCATGTTTTTTTGTATCAGAACATTATAGCTGAACTTAGATCCGTGATAATATACTACAGTATATAAATATAAATCAAAATCAATTGTGTCTTTAAAAGTCCTTCCAATGATTTTGTAGCAGTATTGGACAGCGAATAATGTAAATTTTCAATGTTTTAGAGAAAGAAGAAGTATTCTGGAAAAATATTGATTTTCTTTAAAAAATTACACATTTTTCCCAATTTTCTAAGGTGAAAATTGTCAAATTTCTTCAGAAACAAATTATTTAAAGATTAACTGGAATATATTTTTCATGTTATGGAGCTATAACACAAAAAAACGGAGTGTACTCTAAATAAACTGCGAAGCGGTTTATGATGAGAGTACATTCCGCTTTTTTGTGTTATAGCTCCATAACATGAAAAATATATTCAAGTTAATCCTTATAATTTAATCTACTATACAGAATCCCTGTGGAAATCCACTTTTATTGATGGACTCTTTTCTCTCAGAAATTATTGCGCTGCTGTATCAACCAATCAAAAGCGACGTTACAAATGGCGACGTCATTTTTTTTCGTTATGGGCTGATAACATAATTTTTTAAGCCAATGGAAATGCTTGTTACAAGCAAGATTAAATTATTCAGATATATATCTTCAAATTTCAACTCACCTTACATAATGACCAAATATTTAGTCTGAAACTAATTGAAATGTAGTGATTTTATCAAGTATGGCAAGTGACAATATGCCAGCTAATACAAAGAGAAAACACACACACACACCAGTTTTACAAAAAAAAAAAACTTTTCCTAGAAAGTTAGTTTGGTTATCTTCTATGATTTTGAATGACAATAGAATTGAAAATCTTTTCGAAAAAAAATGATTTGTCTGAAATTCCATACATACTAAACACACTGAACAGATAAATATTCTGTCTGAAATCAGCTAAATTCTCAGGATTTCAAGTTATTTGCATCAGATGCAAAAAAAACTCAGACTTTTTAATAATTTAAATTTCCAAATACTCCTCAGAAAATTACTTTTGTAACTTTTGATGACTCATTATGTCCAATCATAAAACGATATGATAATTCTGCTCTCACATTTCAGCGTTTACCCCATTCCTAAGGTAGAAAAAGGCAATTACAAACAAGAAACAAGAAGTTATTCAGATATATCTTCAAATTTCAAAATAATCCTAATTAACAACCAAATATTAAGTCTGAGATGTCACAATTAAAAGTTTTATCAAGTAAAACAAACGGCAATATACCAGATAATATTAAAACAAAATCCTGTAACTTTACAAAAACTTCAAATTTCTTCTCAGGAAGGATTAAGTAATCTTCTATGACATTGAATGTCAATCAAGAGGTGCAATAGTGTTAATCTTCACTTTATTGGAGAGAAAAAAAAAGCGTATTTGGAAAAATATTGATTTTTCTGAATTTTCAGCATTTACTGTATTTTCTTGGATGGAAAATAGTCAAATTCCCACGGGAACAAAATATTCTGATGTATCTTCCATTTTAACACATACACTACTTTGCAGTCAAATATTTAGTCTGAAATCAGTTAAAATGTCAGGATTTCAAATTGTATCAAGAATGGCAGGTGGTTATATCATAATACCTCATAAAACCTGAAATTGTACAAAAAACTCAATTTTCAAATATCTCCCCAGCAACTTCTTTTTCAATCATCCTTATGACTTTCTATGACAATAAAGCAAAGGGATACTACAAACATGTCATTTTTGAGAAAACGTATATTTTGAAATATTGATTATCCTCAAATCAACATTTCAACCAATATTTCCAGGGTGGACAAATATTCAAATTCTCCCAGGAACGAAAGATTTAAAGGTATCTTCAAATTTAACACTTATTCTACATAAAAAAAGTTTGATATGTTGAAATGTCAGCATTTCAAGTTTTAACAAGTATGGCAAGTGGCAATATCAAAATCTAAACTGAAAAATAACAAGTATTATTTTATAAAACACTCATTTTTTTTTAAATTCCCCCCAAAATATTCCATTTTTATCATCTTTTATGACAAAAAACACAGTAATGGTATAAATCTGCTGTTGATGTTTCTCAAATTTCCACATTTTCTCTACAGGTGAAAAATAATCAAATTCCTCCAGGAACAAAACATTCTTAAATATTTTCAACTTCAGCACTAATTCCAGTAAACGGACAAACATTTAGTCTGAAACTAGTTGATATCACGAAATTTTCATTTTTATCAATTAATACAAGTCGCATTATACAGCCTAATACCTAAAAAAAATATTTTTTTACAATAACCACAATTTTTCATTTTTTTTCTCTGAAAGTTACATAGTTACCTTCTCTGACTTTGTATGACTTTAAAACAGTGCAATGCTGCAAATTTGCACTTAAAGAAAATAAGTGTATTTTGGTAAAATGTTTATTTTTCTCAAATTTCATCATTTTCCCCGTTCCTAAGGTGGAAAATAGTCAAATTTCCCTAGAAACAAAATATTCTGATATATCTTCAAACTTAACACTTATTTCACTTAAATACTGCATTTGCACTTAATGTTGATTTTTCTTAATTTTCTCAATTTCCCAATTATTAAGGTGGAAAATAGTCAATTTTCATCAGGATCAAAATAATCTGATACAGGATATCTTCAAACAAAATCTGCAAATTGTCAATTTTGTCCTTAGGAAGATACTTGTTTATCTTCTATGACAATATGACCTTAAAACAGTGCGCTGATTGAAAAATAAATTTTAATTGGATAAAAGTAGTTTTTTTATTAATTTTCAGCATATTCCAGATAACCGAAGGTAGAACATGAAACTAGTCGAGATTCCTACCCTATACCCATA